GCTGCTGAACCCCAGCCTGGCCCATCTCCCCACCCTGCTGCAGGCTGGGCCCAGCCTGACCCCAAATGTGGYATTCTGTGGAGATCTGCAGTGCTGGGAAAAAGAGACAAGGGCTGGGAGGTGCTGCTGAAGTCAAGCACTGCTCCTGGTGGGTCAAAAACCCACTTAAAGTACGAAGGGCTGTCCCAGGGCTGCTCTGTGTTTGCAAACAAGATTTTTGGCTGGTCCCAYAGGCCCTCTTTAGGCTGTAATAAAAGCAGGAGTGTTGTGGTGCAGGGATTACCTCGTTTTTCCAACAAAAGCTACATAGGAATGAAACATTCTCCCACTAACAGAACTCTGAAATGTCTCTTTTATCTCCCCATTTGGAAACCTGGGCTGCAATGGAGCCYGACAGGATTCTTTTATTTACTCCATCTCCTGTAGCACAGCTATTTCTGGCTGCTGCTATTAAGCCAGGCTCATTTTGCCTCTCACCCAACCTGCCCTGCTCGGGCAGCTCACAGGAAGGCAGCAGCAGCAATAAACCACAAGCTGGAGCTTGCACTGCCTCCTGATTACAAGAGACACATAAAGAGCACAAATGAAAACTCAATGTGTTCCAWGCAGTCACTGATCTTCCTGGGCTGTCAGGAAACACCTAACACGGGGCCTTAGCAAGGATTGCTGAGCTGTTGGTGACAGGAAAGTGAATTCAGAGCAGGAATGCCTTAACCCTTCCTACTTCCTGCTGTCATTCTCAGCCCCGTGCCACAGTGCCCTGGAGCCCGTTGGGGGAATTCAAATTATTACCCAGAACAGAAAAAAGAAGATCCTCATCTGCTGAGAACCTCGAGCATCCCCAAAGTGATCGTAATTAATGCCGTGTGTCACAGGCCTGGATGTGAAGCACCGTGATTTGCAAATCTAAAGCATCTCCGTGTCAAAYCCTCTCAACTTCAGGGTGATAAGGAAAGAGGACCCTGTGCCTTTAAGGCAACATCTTTTAGTGTTACCATCATCCAGCATCGCCTTCATTTCCTGGAGTCCCAGAATGGGTGTTTTTCTCCTCATTATCCACGTGTGGCACAGCACACTGAGGCACTGCTTGCTTCCCACCCTGGCTATTCCCTCCTGCCTTCCCCAAACAGCTCTGCATGGGGCACCCAACCAACCCCGTGGGAAAGCACCACTTCATCCTCGTGGGTCAGCAAATGTGGGCAGGAATTCACTGGGAGAGTTGGACATGAATCCAACAGCTCCAGGTTGCCTGGCTGTGCAAGGAACACCTGAACCCTGAGCTCTCCCAGGGGCTCTAGATCAGGAACTGCAGCACCCAAACTGGAGCTTCAACACTGAATTTATGGAACCCTGAAATGGGTGACAAGGCCATTTCACCAGATCCTCCCTCCCTGGCACCAACAAGGAATTCAGTGGGGATGGTAGGAAGTAACCAGTGCTGCCTGATGGCAAAATCTAAGCCAAATAGGTTTATCTGTAAAGCTTGGCAACTTTTTTTTTTGGTGAAAATACACCACACAAGTTGCTCTGTAAGATKTTTGCCAGCAGGTAGAGGTGCTGGCCATGGTGTCAGATTCTCCACCTGCTGTTGCCCTTGGAAACCTTAGGGCAGCATTCCTGCTTGGAAGAAAAGCTTCAATACACCCCCAGTGGTGGAAATAACATCTGCCAAGTACATTTTAGTGCAGCCAGGGATTGCACTCATCTTCCCAGGCCAGATCCCTRTCTGCAGAACGGGGGTCATGGAAATGCTGTCAGGAATTCCCAGCCTTGCAGGTGGAAAAAGCAGGCAACAACCAGATGAGAATGTCAGGAAAAAGCACCCTGAATCCTCCCTCACAGATATTCTTGGCCAGGTATCCAAAAAAAAAAGGCTCTGTAACCTTGAAACATTTTCAGGCAGCAAGAGAAAGGGATGGCAAAGCCTCTGGAAAGCAGGACAGGAACAGAGCAGATGGGGCTGGTTTGGAAATGTGTCACCTGCTGCTGAAAGCAGGGAGCTGGACACTGGAAATATCTGCACAGCCAACAGTGTTCCTTACACAGGGAACATTGGATGGATCAGCAGGAAAAATCCTCCTCTTGCACTGCATGGACTGTGAGCAGGAACCTGCAGGGTGAGGTGGAACAGAGTTTGGAGATGATGGAGATGGCAGGGAATGACAGAGAATGCCAACAGAACTGTCCCAGAGCTCAGGGATCAAACTGTGTCCCTGCAGGAACTCCTGCATCGGCCTCCCCAGGCACAGGATCCATCCCCAGCGGGTGCAAACCCCTGCCAGGGACAGCCCAGGCCATGAGGGTGAGGACGATGGGCAGGTCACTGCAGCAAGGATCTGAGGAGTGGGGGATCCTGTCTGAAATACGTATTTGCCTTCTAAAGCCTCTTGGGATATCTGCCATGCCTTCATCAAACTGAAGCAGCTGTGGTGTATTTAAAGAAGGAATGAGTTTCTTGTTTCTATTAAAAAGCTCTTTTGGCCAATAGAGATAAAAATCAACCATTATGATTTTTCATACTGTGTCACAATGAGGGATGTATCATACCTATTAATTTATCATACCTGAAGAAAACCCACAAATGCAGATTTTCTGAAGATTCACTGGGATGYGCCATCCTAAGTGGCTCCAAAGCTGTGCTCAGGGGTGTGTGGGTCAGATTTCACATCTCTCAGGGTGACAATTTWAGAGCCGGGGTAAGGAAGGCTGGCTCCAGCATCCCATACCTTGAGGTAGATGGTGCCTCACACCAAAAGCCCCAGGACATGGGGCAGAGGTTTTTTCCAGGAAAGCAGAGCTGATCCTGCTCCTTTTGGGATCTGCCRGGGAGTTCAAGACAGCACAGACTACAAATCATTCAGGTTTATTTTATCTGTGGGATGCATGGTCCCAAAATGTGAGCTAACACTCCTCTGAATTCCAAACCCGGAAAATCCTTCTTAATCAAGGAAAGCAGGATGAGGATGGGAGAGCCCAGCTGGGACCTCATCCCCCTTCTGCCCCAACAGGGCAGGGGCAGCTGGAGTTTGATGCTGGAAAAAGAGACACAGAAGGAGRACCTACAGTGGGGTCTGAGCCCTGTGCCCACGGGGTCACAGAGGGACTGCCACCCCTGTCACCCCAGGCTCGGTGACACACACTGTGCCACAAGAGCTCAGCAGCACTCGTCTCTGTGCCAGGCAGACCCAGCCCCATGGCACAATCCCCAGGGTGTTCTCCATGCAGGCACCTCTTGTGCAGCACCTCCTCAGCCCCAAAATGCCACCAAAAAGCCTTTCTCTACACAGAAAGGAGAGCACGGTGCCACACTAACACTGCTGGCMCACTGATGGAACTTTCCAGGCCCCAGCAGCTCACTGGAAACTGCTGACTGTTCTCCACTCCCGCTGCTGACCATGGAGATCCCTGCTTTTCCCAGAATTCAGGGAATACTCAATGCTTCTCTGGCCCAGACCGAGCTGCCCAGCTGGATGCTGCCTATTGAATTGGAGATTGGGGGTCACAATCAGAGAGGAGGAGGTCAGGATTAAACAGGAAAGCAGCTGCGCATCTCCAGCCTCACCGCAGCTCCCGGGACTGGCTCCAGCACCACTCTGGGGTTATTTGTGCTCAGGGAGGGAAAGGCACAGCAACGAGGAGRGGGAAACAGGCACAGGCAGGGCAGAAGGCACAGCTCCAGTCAGCCGTGACTCAGGAGAAGAAAGTGCCACCCACTGCAGTGGCCAGGCCAGCGAGGGGCAGTGATGCCACTCTGAGTCAGGAGCCACCCACGGCCCCACCCACGCCCTCCTGAGGGTGCCACGCTCAGCCTGTCCTGAGCCAGCATCAAAGGAGTCAGAGGGACATTCTTCACAAACAAACTGGGGGCTCTGCYGGGAGAYAGGGYCAGACACTGACAGGTCAAAGGAGCAATGGGATGAACCRTAAATTCCATGGGAATTCCACCAATTGAMACAGACTGGTACTGACCCAAGGCTGWGCYAAATCCCTGAACTYAAGAGAAAAAGAAAAGACACAAGAAAAATAAAAAGGAGCAGCGGAATCGCCAAGAGGGATGCACATGAGAAGGGATCTGTATCAGGTGATTCAGGAAGTCTGTACCTCTCCAGTCCTCAGCCAGTGGGGAAAGAGAGAGGGAAATGGAGCTGGGAAATTGGGATAGAAAGGAGACTGCTCCCTAAAGCAATTTGAGAGACCCCATGGAAATGCCCCATGCCCTCTCCCTTTATTTGAATAAAGTCACAGGACTCCTCTGTCTCCTTTTTGGACATGAACCTCTGGTTTTTGTGGATTAACTCTCCTGACAAGCAGCTTTGTCAGGAACAAACCCTGTGCTGGCCCAGGAACCCCTCTGAACAGTTCTGTGTGGCTGCAGGGAGTGACWGCAAACCCCGAGCTGTCACACACAGGATGGATGGGCTCTGTCCCTCCATGTCACACGGCTGGGATCACCTCGGTGGGACACAGGGGTACAGGAGCTGCTGCTGGACACAGCTGCTCTGGAACASAGCTCACCTGCTGCTACTGACCCTACAGCAGCAGCACCCTGTGCTGCCTTCCCACCTTTCCCACGGATTCCAGGGCAGGGAGGGGCCCTGTGATACCCAGCACAGCAGCCACAGGAGGAGGAGGCTCCAAAAGCCTCTTCCTGAGTGGAGAGGCACCCAGCACAGGAGGGCTCTGCCCATCACCATCTCCACGCAGCAATCGGGCTGTCGGCCCTCCTGCCAGGGTTTGTGGTTCATCCAGGAACTGCAGGGCTATCTAATCCCACATCATACACTGCAGCCAAAACCTAAACCGAGAAGGGAGGCAGCGAGCCAAACCAGGAGCACATGAGAAAAAGGCATGAAAAGAACAAGTGGAGGCTGGATTTGCCAYGAGCACAAGAATCCCTCAATCCCTKCMCCTTYTGCAYGTGCAGCCCACAGCCACYGTGCCCTGAAAACCACTTTGGAGCAGCAAAACTGGYCACAGCACGCCCTTAGCTGTGTCCTTACCTTCTTGCAGAGAACCATCTGGTGATCAAAGAGAAAGAAAACTCGCTGCTGGTTCCGTCCGTAAGGCTGGTAAATCCAGGACATCTCTCCCGTGTAGATCAGCTCCGAGCTGCGGTCCAAGATGTCGTCTCCCTGCAGGGCACAGGCAACCAGGCTCAGTCAGCTGCACGGGACAAGTTTGTCTTTGCACAATGTGCACAAGCGATAATAAATAGGATTTGGGCCCTTCTGCAGCTCTCAAAGCCAGCCCATCTGATTTTGATCAGAAGTTGGGGTTAGGGGATAATTCTGAAGGGAAGGAAATAACTGAAGGAGGTGTGGACACTCAAAGTATGGTCACCATGGCTCACATTGCAATGGGGAAAGAGCTGCCCCAGACACTGCCCCCACTCTGGCCCCCAAGTGCCCCCAGACCCTTGGCTCTTGCTGTAGGTGCTGGTGGCAGTAGGAGAATGAAATCCCTTCCTCCTGCCCACCCCAGAGCCACTCTGGATCCAGGGTACCAAACTCCCTTTCAAACAGCACTGAAAACACATCTCCTCCTGGAATCTCAGGCCAGCTACGAAAGCCTGGGACTCACTGGGACAYCATTCCCCACCTCCAAGGCAGCCAGCACTCAGCCCCAGGATTGCTGCCTCCCTTCCCACTCACGCAGGCACTGCCAGTCCCTTCTCCCACAGCTCACTGCAGCTCCCCAGCTCCAAAACCCTGTCAGGACCACCCCAGCTCTGCTGGCAGCCCCRGCCCCCCTGGCTGGCCAGGCCTCCCTGCTGGCTGCCAGTGCCCTCACYCTTCCCTGCCTCCGGCTAACGCTTGCTTTCCTCTCCCGAGTTTTTTTTAAGGATTCATGAGCAGATGGTCTTGAAAACACAGCACTGTCTCTCCCACTCTCTGAGAGAACAAATGCAGTCACCCTCCACTAATTGGAATGAGCTGGACTTTTTAAAAAGTTAATTAAAATCTATTTATTAAAAATGGGTGAATTCACCACCACCTGCCCTGTGGGCATCTCCGTGGAGCAGCGCGGAAGGAAAGTGGGATGGCTCTGGCTCAAAGGTAAGGAGCAGGATTCAGCAGCAAGTCAGAGAAGAGCTTTTTTTTCCTTTTTGGCTGTGAAACTACTGCAGTTCTGGCTTTGATGCCAAGCTGGAACTGATTTCTGGGACAAGAGCGGCCCAAAAATCCCAGCAAACAGCTTGTGAAGGTTCAGCCAGCTCTGGGGGCACCCAGCTAGACACGCACTTGTGGTGCTGCTCACACTCGCAGGTGCCAGAGCAGYCAAGAGTTCTCCCCACTGCAGACTCCTCGGTGAGGATTTCCAACTGCTGCTCAGGTAAATGTGTAATTAACCTCTCAGCATTGATTGGGAGCGACCGCCCGTGTCCCCGGGCTGTGTGACAGCAGCAGCTTCATTAAGTCACTGCATCACCACGCTGCAGCACAGATTCCAAACGGCCTCAGCCAGGGCTTCAGCCACCTCCCTGCTGTGCCTGGGGCTCAGGAGGGGTCACTCCCCAGGGACACCAAGGGTCACTCCCCAGGGACACCAAGGGTCACCCCCCAAAGGGCTGGGCTGTGGTCACACAGTGCCCAAACCTGGCCACAGCCCAGGACCAGGTGCTGTGCCACAGCCCAGGTGGACAGCAGCCCTGGAACAGGAGTCCTCTGAAGGAATCACACCAGCTCCAGAAATTGTGAGCTCTCCTGGCTAAACATGAGCTTATCTGATGAAGATTCCCACAGGCCTATGGATGGRAGCTTTAGGAGAGGGGGCGAGCTTAGGAGAGGCTGGCTGCTAAAAATAGAAAGGCAGCTTTGTCTTTTACTCCTGTGGTAGCATCTGAAGCCTGAGGACACACAGAGGGCTCTGTAAACACTTCTACTTGATTAGCTGAATCCAAACTGTGTAGTCCCTGCAAGCAACATAACCCAAAAACATCCAGATCCGAAATGATGGGATTTGTATTGCATTTCTTATGTGGGAAAACAATTTCTGTATAGAATCCATAGGCTAGAAATAGCTGATTTCCCATTTGGGGTGACCAAAGTGGGAAATGTAGACTGCAAGGAGTTTGGGACAGGCCATGAGCAGCGTGCCGGTGGTGCTGCCCTGCTGCTCCAGCCTGGCTGCTGTGCCAATTGCCATGGGGGAACTTGGGGCAGAATCTCCACAGGCTTTTTGTGTCCTGGCACAGTTGAGCACCTCTGACAAGCACAAACTGTGTCCGGCTGGTCCCCATGGAGGGGCTCAGGGGGCAGTTGTAGGATGGGGGGCACAGAGGGACAGTGGCTTTGCAGCTCTGCTGCCCCCCTGGCTCCCCCAGCACACCTCAATCCCTGTCCTGGGTCCAGGCAGGCTTCCCCCAATGTCTCTCCCAGTCCCACACCTCCAGTWCTGTACAGAGCTAGGAAAAAAAATTCCTTTTTCTTTTCCATTTTTTCCCAACTCCTACAGAGCCTGGATCATCTCTATCCTTCTGTTAGTTAAGAGAAACCCTGCTGAAAAGGGAAGAGGCTGAACTTTCTGTGACTCTGAACTGGCAGACGTTGAGCAGAGCACAGCAGTAGAATAGCCAAGAGCAACCCTGACTCCCCAGGCCTTTTCCAACCTGAGTTTTGTCCCATAAAGCTCCAACAAAACCCCTCAGCCCTCCCCAGCTGTACTCAGAGTTTTCAGTGCCCATCCTGCTGCATCTGAAGGGCAGCCCAAGGAAAGCTGAGTCCTCTCTYCTTCCCACAGTCCCAGGCAGAGCCCAAATCCTTTGTGGGCAGGAATGGGAACAGAACGACACCCAGATCTAGGCTGGATGGGAGCCCCCTCCAGCCCTGCAGGGACACACAGGGCACCCCTGTGCCAGCACRGGGTCAGCTCTGCTCTGCTGCTGTGCTGCTGCCTGGGGGAGATGTGCATCCCCAGCCCCCCGTTCTGCTGCAGTGACCACCAYGCTGCGAGGAACCAGAGGGGTTTCAGCACTGGCATGAAATAAACGCTGCTGGGAGCACCAGGACAGCAGGGAAGGGMTTGGCACCGAGAGCTGCTCCCCCTCCCAGGAGCCAGGGCTCAGGAATGCCCAGAGCCCAGCAGAGCTGCTCCCCTGCACCCAGCCCACCCTGGCACAGCTCTCTGCTGTCACTGCTGGGCTCCAGGAGGAGATTCTGTGCCCTTTCCTGCTTCCCAGGGAGCCAGCAGGGCTCCCTCGTGCCTGACACCGCTGTTCTGCAATTAGAGACTGACAGGCTGATTAGCACCCGGGGCTACACTGAGATCACAAAAAGGAAATACTGTTCTTTTCAACAGGCTCCTTTTCAATACCTTCTGTTACTTGGGAGGAAAAATAAAAAGAAGAAGAAGAAGAAGAAGAAAAAAGAAGGCTCGGTTTCAGTCCCTGACATAGGTTTTTTTCCCCAGGAGGATTTCTCATCAGGCTGTCCTCACTCTGGTGGTTCCAGGCAGCTCCCTTTCACAGCACTCTTGGATTCACTAACGCAGTATTAGGCTGAGGCCAGTGATTATGGATTACATAATTAAGGGCAGCAAGGCTTGATTTAAAGGACCCGTAAATAACAGGAGCGGGAAGAAATTTAAAAGGGCAATGCTCCTTAGATTTGCCAAATATATGTATCTGTCCCTTCACGGAAATTTAATACTCTTGGAAGCTGCCACGGTGGCACCCCATGGGAATCTTTGGTAGGAATATTTAAATAGCTACACAAACCAAAGCAATCTGTTCAAATAACAAAACCCATCCAGACTGATGAGCAAGGCTCTGCCCTGTGCCAAACATCCCACTGTTGGATCAGGGTCCTCCACACCACCTCCCTCCTGTGAGAAAAAACCGGGCTGAAAGGGAGGAAAGTGTTGTTGGAGGGCTGGAGAGGGAGSCTGAACTGCCTCAGTGATTGCTGCTCCATTTTGTTGTGATGTGGTTCAAGAGCAATTCCAGGTGTGCTGAGGCATGGACCTGCTCTCCATCCCACGCAGGGCACTCGGACAGCCTGGGCTGGGTGGTGCCCAAGGGAACAGTGGGACAGTGGCACAGGTGGCACAGGTGGCACAGGGCTCCTTGGGCTCTCAAGATCCATGTGGGGGGCAGGAGACAGGGAACAGGCTCCTGCCAGGGCACAGCAGCAGAGGGAAGGCAGGGATGTCCCTCTACACAGTGAAAATACAGCCCTGTCCAACCTGGAGCTGCCRAGGACTTGGGAATGACCTGGGATTTGTGGGAATCTGTGTCTAATCCTGCTCTGGGTGTGTCTGTGGAGATATTCCCACCCAGCTCTGGGGCTGGAGCTACCCCCGAGGGCAGGAGCAGGGCAGGGAGTGAGCAGCAGAGGCTGCCCGGGGTGTGCTCTGGCTG